AAGCTAAACACGGTCAGGGATTAAACACTCGTAGTGTTTGTATATCAATCCTTCCAGGGCTGTGACACATTCAGAAAACAAATGACAGCATTTATAACACGTTTAAGCGAAAGTCAACTTCCAAAAACACCAAAATAAAATGTGTAGCCTAGGGCTGGACCAAAAAAACATCTAATACTTACAATAATATATTCATGATGGATATGCAACACAGTGTAATAATAACTTGAAAAAATCCATTGTAATTTGTCATGTAATTTGTGAGTATGAGAGCATTAAGGTTTTAGAGTTTGATTCAATTCTGTGAATCAGTTCAAACTGGCCAATTCAATTAAACAATTCTCTTTTGTCCTATCAGTCAAAAATCTGCATAGAAGTTTCCAAGAATTAAAATGACAAAAACTAAAAGTAGTAGTAAAAAACAAAAAAATTCTAAGCGTAAACATTATACAAATAAATAATTCATATATTTATAATAATTATTATTTATATGTTAATGACTTTTGTCCCATCTCTCAAAAATGTCTCAGATATATAAATATAAATTATACAAATAATTAAATAAATAAAATGTATTATTATTATTATTATTATTATTTGTTAATGACTTTTGTCCCATCACTCAAAAATATTTTTCCAAGTTTAAAAAATGCCAAGCAATAAGGAAAAAAGTAGTAAAACAATATAAAAATATTGAACAAATATTATAAAAGTATATATATATTATTATGTTATTTTTTATATATCATATTATATATTATAAATGATATTTTAAAATGTAAATATCTGCACCCTCATTTAATGTTCATAGAAATTCTAAGCAATACAAAAATGTGGCTTAAAATAGCTAAATATTTATTTAGCCGTTTATTGACAGTTAGAAAAAATAGAGATATATAAATAGGACTACATACATATATATATATATATATATATATTTCTATTCTATACATATAGCTGGCTAGTATTTATTTAGCAAAATTATATTTAATGACACCAAATATACTTCCTTGTTTTTGTTTAGTGAAGTTATTGTTGAGCATCTGCTTGAATTCTCTCGCTTGAAGTCTACATTTTACTCTAATCACTGAATGCAAGTTGAGAGACACGACTCACACGAGCTAAACAGTTGTTGTTTCTGATCACGCGTAAAGGCTTCTCAAAATGACAGCCTGAAATTGAGAACACAAAGATCATTTTAAGGCTTGTTGGCTGGTCGGGGCTTGCAGCTGTCTCACACTCACACACACACACACACACACAGCTCTGTACGTTTCGTGAATATCTTCCAGGCTTGTCCTGCAACAAAGAACTGGAAGCTTCATGTGATTCTTTAAACACTGGGACAAATTTATCAACGTTTCTGTTTGACGTTGATCAAACATCTTCCTGAAAAGGAACTGAACTAGCTTACTGAAGCATCTGTTGACTTACGCAGGCACGACAAGGCAAGTTTCCACCGTTAAGCATTGTTTCTGTCCTAAGTGAAAGTGAATCACTTCAACATCAGAACGCATTTGATGTTTAATTAACAGCTGAAAGGCACAAAAACTAAAATGGCAGACAAAATGTTGTTTGCACATCCAAAATCGCACTCGATTTTGCCTTTAGCGTGTTGCACCTGGTTAGAACAGGGTGGGAAATGCAGGAGACAAGCTCTGGTCAGGTAAATGAAGCGTGTCGGGAAGGGTTAAACATGTGACATGACCCCAGATGGCTACATGTCAGCTCCCTCTTTTTCAGTCAACAAAAGCTATTCATCATTCCTCAGTTGAAAGATCGGCCGCCATCCGTCTCAGCCGCATCATTCCTGAAGTGAATCGATTCACTGGTTTTAAATTCGATTCAGGAACTATTTTTAAATTCAAAATGACTCAATCCATTTTGATTCACAATGAGATTCAATTTCGATTCATGATTCAATTCTGTATTTGAAGTGCATTCACAGGATTATGTAAATGCTTCTCCTAATGTGTCTTAGCTAAGAAAAAGACAAAGGCAAACTACTTGAGATGTTTATTAGGAGGGCACAACATATCAGCAACCATATTGGTTACGGCCAATTTAACAGCAAAAGATAATGATAAACACAGATCTCAAAATAATAGGGGCGCAACAATGCATCGATTACAAATCCTGCCGAAGGATATGCAGCATCTTGAAGCATTGATATTGGAATCATAAATCGTTTGTTTTGGTCCATAATTAATTTTAAATGCTAAAAATTGAATTAATCAAAATTTGGTAAAGTATTGTTCAATATTTTCAAATATATAAATATAAAAACTATGAATATTAATTGCTGATTGTTTTTTTTTTTATTTGCATATGAGACCTTGAGGAAACTGAGTTCAAATAAAATAAAATTGTATAAAATTCATTTATAAAAAATATAAACGTAAACAATAAATTGCATGATTTACATATATATATATATATATATATATATATATATAATGCATTTACTTGGTGTAATAACCATCTTAATTGGTTCATCTTTTTCTTGCCTAAGACACATTACAATATCCTATAAACGCACTTAAAAAAAGTCATTAACCGAAATTGATCAGATTGTTCCAAATGTGAAAATAGTCATTTCTGAATCGCACTGAAAGCCTATGAATCATGAATCAAATCGATTTGATTCGCTGTCCACCCAAAGATTCACACCACTACAAATAATGATTATTAATTGGTCTGTATGATATAAAGTGTCTAGTGTCTATCACTAGTAGGGCTGTCAATTTTTTTCGAATTTCGAATATTCGTCGAATTTAAAAAAAAATCCGCATTCGAATTTTAGGTCTGCGTTAGCCGTCAGGCAGCCTTATCAGTGGCGCACGAAATGGCCAAAAGCTTTCTTTCCCCCTAACTGAAATTATGCCTTTTAAATTAGAATATAATTAGAATTTTGATCATATTTAAGTGGAAAATTCGAATTTAGTTTTTCAGTCATTTTGACAGCCCTAATCACTATTGCTCCCATTCATGAATGCATAACTACAAATCTGTTTCAGAGAGCCAGAGCGTTTCCATCCTGAGGATAAATGATGCCGCAAACCTCCACTGATCTTTCTCATGTGCTTCCAGATGACGGTGAAGAAAAGTCAAACATCATGACAGCACAATGGGCTGCTCAACCACCCGCTGCTCGAAGAGGAACGCAGCAGATTCACCAAACCTCACAGACACGATATTTCAGATCAGGGGAGTTCAAAAGGCTGATGGGGAATCATGGAGGTGATTGTCTGCGTCACTGTCAATTATCGTCAACTTAATCCAGCAGAAACAGATCAAACAGATACTCGATATGATCCTGTCTGCATAAAAGATGCTGATTTACAGAGCAGAGGAACTCGTATGGTTTGACTTTATCTAAAGTAACCTGCCTCATCAGTAAAAGTCCAGACCAATACAGCTGTTGGACACGTTTTTCTTCCAATATTTACATTTCAATTTATGAAAACAAATTTTAAGTTTTAGTTAACAATAATAACATACAAGAACGAAAACCTGTCAAACCAAATTTTGTTTAATATAATTTTTCTATTTAGCTTGGACTTATTTTTATTTCAGTTTTAGATGACGTAAATATAGTTTTATAGACGTAGTATTTTAGTACTTATTTTTTAGTTGGCAAGGTAATATTTGAAGAGTTCATCTGCAAAAACAGATAAATTGGGTTATTTTGATGAGACGAAAAAAAAATACAGCTAACCAACACAATAAAACACAATAAAAACACGATAACATAATAGAGACATAATAGTGTTATCCGTTTTTGCAAATAAACTCTTCATTTCTAATTGTAATTTTTCAATTAGAAAATAATTATTGTAACATTCATGCAAGGGTGCATTAAATCGATCAAAAGTGACAGTAATGACATTTATAATGCTACAAAAGAAGTTCTTTTGAACTTTCTATTCATCAAAGAATCCTGGAAAAAAAGGTTTCCACACATGTTCGGCAGTAGAACTGATTTCAGCATTGATAATTAGAAGAAATGTTTCTTGAGCAGCAAATCAGCAGAATAGAATGATTTCTGAAGATCATGTGACACTGAAGACTGGAGTAATGATGCTGGAAATTCAGCTGCGCATCACAGAAATAAATTACATTTTAACATATATTCACATAGAAAACAGCCATTTTAAATTGTAATAATTTTTGATTGAATAAATACAGCCTTGATGAGCATATGAGACTTTTTGTAAACAAAATCTTTCCAACCCCAAATTTTGAACAGTAGTATTCACTAAATAACAAAAATCGTAAAACTTTCAATTTTAGTTTTTTTTCCTCTATTTGAGTAAATGTTTACATCATTTTTTTATATCAATTATTGCCTGGAGTGCTTTCTTAGTTCTTTACTATTTTGCAAAGGAATATAGAGATGAATTATGCTTGAACTGTAGCAATGACATATTTTGTCGTTATGAGTGTTGCCGTAGAAACAAATAATTGTCTGAGAGCATGAACACCAACATGCAATACATAGTCAAACCAAAAATTATTCAAACACCAGATATAATTTTTTATGTTTTTTTTTTTACTAGTGGGTGCAGGACACTATAGTTCAAGTGAGGATAGCGAAATAAAGTCAACTGTGACATATTATACCTAAAAATTCTTCATACAGTGAACTACCAGCAAAACTGATAAAATTTGGGACTTAAAATTGTTCAGACACTTTGAGCTAATCATGTTTTGCTTAAGTGTTTTTCTTTAATTGCTAATGCCACCTTTTCACACCACAGACTGAACAAAATGAAGCATTGCTTGGTAACTGGTTGACATTAGTTAAAATAAGTTATCTGACATTATCAAGATGAATTTGTTCTGACACAGTTTAACTCTGATTCATGTCATATTTTATTAACATTTTCTAAACTATAGCGAATAAACTGTGATAATGTAAGAAATGTTGAAGGTGTCTGAATAAATTTTGGTTTGACTGTAATCTAGCTTTTATGCAACAACACGCAGTGGACTCTCACCTCAGTGTGGCCATGTTGGGCTGGTTCTGGAGATGCTCAGGCCAGTGATGCTGCATGCAGAAACAGCGCACGCCTTGAACGCAGCACGAGCCCATGTGAAGCGCTGCGGACGACACGGCGCTTTGGAAAAGAGCACAATCCTGCTGGTTCCTGTTGCAGCAGACGGGCTGCCGAGGAGAGCAGTAAACGCAGCAGGCTGGTGGCAGAGCGTTGGGCAGCAGCACAGCCAACCTCTGAGAGTCTGAGACATGTGACGAGGAAGAGGACGAGGAAGAGGAGCCTGGCGAAGACGGACACATGGCTCCGTTGGGTTTGAGTCCGCCGTTCTGACCAGAGTGCGTCGGCGTGAACACCGAAACTCTCTGCTCGTCCTCCAGCTCTTCAATGGCGTTTGCGGAAGTTGAGGATCCGCCATTGCTTTTGGTGAAGCCCTCGCTCAGGGCCATGATCCTTCCTGGATCAGCTGATCAGGACGTTAATCTGCAAATAAACACACAGTCATGGTCACTTATGCACAGAGATCCAACTCAAGCTATTTCCCATCACAGTTAAATGTACCAATAACTAGCTAACCCTTGAGATAAAAATTATGTGCGGAAACTAATGGTGCTTTTCCACATCATGGTACGGCACGGTACGGTTCAGTACGGTTCACTTTTGGGGGGTACCATTACCAAAACGTGACGTGTAAACTCTGCAGATCACTGATTGGCCGGAGAGAATCGTCACTACCTGCGTCACTGAACTTGCGACACGAGACACAACAGAACCGCTAGATTTATCAGCACAGCCAGCGAAGGATCGAACGCAACTGTTTTGAACGAGCGCACCTTTTTTAACAACCAAAAAATGGCTGTTTCATTGTCTGTTGAGGAAGTACAGAACCAAAAAGTGTCTGTTTCGTTGTCTGTTGAGGAAGTACAGACGTTCCTCTCGTTGATAGCAGAGGAGCGGATCCAGCGAGAGCTTGATGGGGCGACGTGGAATGAAAAAGTTTTTCAGGAGTCGCGGCAGTAGAGGCGGCGCAACTATAACGACATGTGAATAATCCCGCCCACTCTAAAGCGGTACTAAACTGCAGTGGAAACGCAAACCGAGCTGAGCCGAGCCGTGCCGTGCCGAGCAGAGTCGTACCACGCAGTGGAAAAGCGCCATAGGGCTGCCCTCGACTAAAGATTTTTCTGGTCGACTAGTTCACTTGAAGCATTAGTCGACCAATCGCACATTTATTAATAAACCAATTAAATTATAATAATGAGCCTTTAATTGCCTACATTGCCTAATAAGCGCTCAAGCGCACGCATAAAGCTTACCACAGCACACCGGCAGAAGTAATGATTATGAATGTCAGGGAAAAACAGTAAGGAGGCTGCATTAACATTTTAATAATGTATTGATACACTAGTGCTTTCTTTGATTTCGGTTTAAGAGATGACTCGGTCATTTCCGCAGTAGTGGACGTGCCTGTATGCACCTTTCATACAGGTTACATAATCTGAGAATATTTGTTTTCCATTTGAATTGGCTTATTTGAAAGTAGACATTTCGCTCTTTATAGATATACTTTTCATGTGTGTAAGGCAAGTATACACAGTTTTGGAGCTTCACGCTCAAGTTCACAGAGACCGAGACGGCAGAAAGCGCATCCTGTTTGCTAACATTAATTTACAAAAGCTCAATGTTTTGTTGTTATTGTGAGTGCACACAAATAAACGTAGAGTCTTTACAGATTTTAGAGATGTATTACTCTTATCTGTATGAGCAAAAATAAGGGAGTATTTTAAGAGCAAGTGAGCGCACCGGCGCCTAAATCTGTCCTGCAGTGAGCGCTACTGTATAGCTTGCACACTCCGCACAGACATTAGATTGAGCGGCCATGTAAAGTTGCTGCTACCTACATATTTCCGATGGCAAGCCATATTTGTGGTCGATGAATGATAGGCGAGCGTTTAGATGTCCTGCCCGACGTACTGTATCGCCACTTGCTGTGGATTTTTTTTTTTTCTGCAACTAGGCAACTAATAGAATTTTGGTCGACCAAGCCTCTTCTGGTCGATTAACGGTTAGTCGACTATTAGGGGGCAGCCCTAGTAATGTCAACTACCCCATGCCTTTTCAGATATATTTGTCTATAATTATGTATTTACATGTTTTTATGCTTTTAGTGTATTTTGTGCATTGCATTTACATAGAGGTGGCAACTGGCAAGAGTGTATTTTTCTTTCATAGAGCCCTCATTATGCAAGTTATGCAAATAAAAAGTTTTAAAGTTTCTAAAATTAGTATTTTATTTTGAGCCTTTTATGTGATTCAGGGTGCATTTCTTTGAGCTAGCCATTATGCATATTTCATTTGAATAACAAAGCCAGAAGCTTCTGTAATCTGATTTCTGTTGGCAGTAATTGGCTGATACAATAGATCTGGTGTTCTAATCCCTAATTCACTGCTACCAGTCTGTTGAGTGTTTAATCTAAACACTGTTGTTTAATCTGAATGTGTGCATTTGAGAGATTTGTTGTTGAGCGATTTAGACTTGTGTAAGCTGATACTGTAAAATCTCTGAATTATTCATGGAAAAATGATTTGGTAGCACTGGTGGGGGACCTTTAGCATGAAAAATAGTAAGGATGTCCAATAAATGAAATTATCAGTAATATTGCACATTACTTACACAAGTTATTGATGTTTAGTATAGGGATACAATATAAATGTACTTATATTAATATAAACAATATAACAATATAACATCTGTAAAAACATGATTATCACTTAACTTATTTAGTGCTTTTTATAGAGCTAATTAATGTAGAGTTAAAATATTCTGACTGTGGGACTGAGTTGATTATTACTTAATCAGGCACTGTTTACTTTTTTTTTTTTAGGTTCTTGGAATATCTGAAGGCAAGCAAGGTTGTTTTTCTACAATCAGAGAATATTCAGACAGAAATGATTCTTAACAGGACAAAAAACTAATAGTCACAATTGTGGGGTTCCAGGATTTAAAGGACACGGTAGTTTGGTCACACTTTATTTTAAGGTCCAATTCTCGCTATAAAAAAAACCATTAACTATGACTTTTGCCTCCGTAAACTCCTAATTTGCTGCGTATTAATAGTTAGTAAGGTAGTTGTTAAATTTAGGTATTGGGCAGGATTAGGGATGTAGAATAAGGTCATGCAGAATATGTGCTTTATAAGTACTCATAAACAGCCAATATGTTAATAATAGGCATATTTGTGGTCGATGAATGATAGGCGAGCGTTTAGATGTCCTGCCCGACGTACTGTATCGCCACTAGCTGTGGATTTTTTTTTTCTGCAACTAGGCAACTAATAGAATTTTGGTCGACCAAGCCTCTTCTGGTCGATTAACAGTTAGTCAACTATTAGGGGGCAGCCCTAGTGGAAACCAGTGTTATTTTGTTAATATTAGACCCTATTAGGGGCCGTTCACACAGAACGCATCTTTGCGTCTAAAAACGTGAGACACAGAATGCCTTCTCCGGCATGTCGCTGTCAAATGAAACAGTTGCCATTCCAACTTGCTACTGTAAACAAAAGCACGCAACGCTTGCCCCGCCTCCAGGGTCTTCTGATTGGTCCACTCTTTTGGAACAGATATAGATGGGCGGCGCTGTGTGTAAATAAACGGCACCTTATAGATTTTATTAATATTTTGGATCGGTTTCTTTTTTTGGTTTTCATTTTAATTTTAGTGACAGTTTTAGTAATTTTGCTGTGGTTTCCCCATTTTTATTTATTTATTTTTAAATTTTATTACAGTTAGTTATTTTAGTAACAAGTTAAAGTAAATGAAAAAGAAAAAATGTTGACCCAACAATTAGTAGGGCTGGGACAATAAATCAATGCATCGCGATTCGTGGATCGATTCTGAGATTTCCAGAATGAATCGAACCTTAAACCGCATAAACACATTTCATTACACCAAATAATGTTCTTTTTAGCAACATCACATGACTCCTTTAAAGGACAAAAAAAATAAATCACACTGAGATGTGGCTCCTCCAGGAGCATTTATTAAATGTTTGTATGTTACTGCTATAAATAATTTTCTCTATGGAGAAAATAAACGGGATTCTTAGTTTCAGGACAAGTTCAAGAACTGCTATCGTAACTGAACCTCAGGGAAATCATTTGGTTGCAGTATTTAAAAAATTTAAAAAAAAAAAAACACTTCAGACTGAGAACCGGTTCTTGATTACCAAGCCTACAGTGTAATTTCAGGAAGAATGGCTTTGTGAACAAAGCGAATTTCAAAGGCGCTGTCTGATTGAAAAGAACAGGTTCAAACACATTGGGCAGACAGCAGAGGAGTCGACGTTTCATGGTATGCTTGAATTTCAGCCCCTATGGCCAGGAAATTGTTGCAGAGGAATGACATGAGCCGCCTCTGCGATATTAAATGTTTCATTGGATGTTTTAAAGCGCACGCCATGCATATCACTGTAAAATAAGATCCAACCGTATTACTCAGGTAAAACGCACGCTTGTGATACTGGAAGTTTGCCCAGAAACACACACACACTGATGCCATGGTCAGCTCTTTCTGTCAAGTAAATCACCCACGTTCTTACGTGACACAGTGGAGACCTGCATGACTCCGATGGAAACCGAAGATCGCCTCTAACCGCAAACCAAAAAACGAGCATCCAAAATAAGTGCCCGGGATCATGAAAGATCTTGTTTGATACAGAGGTGAGCAGGTTTCCCCTCTGACTGTCCTGTAAACACAGCGTCCAAAATACCTTCTTGCACCAACAAATCCGTTTGTGTTCGCAGCTGAACCGCATCCAATAAAAAAGCAGGCAGATAGAGAGAGCTTTCTAAAAAGAGAAACCCAAGGGAGGGAAAACATGTTCAGCGCTATGAATGCTCAGTGTAATGTTGGACGTCTCCTGCATCCGTTCTGAACGCTGTGCACTGGAGGAAGATCATAACAAGAAGTTTAAACAATTATAAATAGCCTTCAAGAAATAAATACACATTCTGATGGGGAGATTAAGAAATTAAAGCATTGAAAAGCACTGATTATTTCTCAAAACGTTTTCTAAATACAGTGTCCTCAAAGTATTTGAACACTTCAGTCACACATATGCATGACTGCGCATTAGATAATAACATATCAAATGAAGTGTGCCAGTATCTGCATGTCTAAATTGACTTCAGCATGTTTGAAGTCTCATTGCCTAGTGTTTTTGGTGGATGTATGAAGTCGGTTCTCCTCAAGTTCACACAAGTGTCCTAGCAGAGGATCCACAGGTGCAATCATCATTTTAACTATCAACATTTTCACACTTATGTTTCACAGGTTTGGCTTCTTTTTCAACACTAGATGTATTATTTTATCATTTCAAACTATATAAAATTGTGAAATGTTTTGCTTAAAGTGTGCTTGTGCTATTATTCTTCAAAATAATTGTTGATATTTTGTTATTCAAATGCAATTAAATACTGCAATGGCATTCATACTAGCTATATTTCAAACTAAACATATTCCTTACTTTCATATACTGTGTGTACAGATAGGCCTAATTATTATTAAATTAGAAATTAATCTAACAACTAAAAGAAAAAATACAGTATTACTATTACTAGTATTTAGATAGATAGATAGATAGATAGATAGATAGATAGAAAATACACAAAAAATCGTGTCGATGTAAATCATAAACAAAAGACAAACTTACAGAGTTTAGGACAGATCCCAGGTTGCCATTCCTTACAGACTCATTGCATGAGCCCAAGACACAAAACTGATTTAAACGAGGATTTTGGTGAGTCAGCTTCAGATGTAATCATATATTATGTTCAGATGTCTTCATCAGTCGCATTATCATTTCAGTCTAACCTCAGCTCAAGCGCCAACAGTCCCTGCAAACCGCCTTATGTAACGTTATTTCTCCTGGACTTGACCAGCTTTTGCTCCACAAACATCCAAACAAACGCGTCCGAAACTCCGTAAACAAACTTAAAGCCTTTTTAAGAGTGCCGTTCCGTAACCGGAGACAGAATAACATTCCTCGATCACAATAAAACTCTGTAATCCTTTCGAAAGGAGCGAGTTATGTCGCGCATTTGTTGAGAACAACGGAGCGCATGCAAACACTCCATCTACTCGACGCAGCAAACACTACAGCGCTTCCATAAACCGAGCTTCACCGCAAGCGACGGGATCCCTGACGTCAGCGGTCCGCCGACCAATCAGAGCGCTCTCATTATAATACATGGCGCTGCGTTGATTTAATAAAGCGTCGGACGCACGCTACGCACGCAGCAGAGATGAAGCGTTGAACGTAAACATACGAAGCAAAATCTAGCAGATCTGCTATATGTCTCAATTTCAACCATTGCGTTAGGTTTTAATTCAGGTTTCACCAGTGTATGAGATTATACTGATAGCAAGTCACAATGCAGCTTACAAATGATTTCATATTATGATAAATAATTTGGATTTGTTCGGTGGATGGAACGAAAGATGGATGGATGGATGGATGGAACGAAAGTTGGATGGATGGATGGATGGAACGAAAGACAGATAGACAGATGTATGAATGGGGAAAAAATGTATGTATGGATGGATGGAACAAAAAATAGATGGATGGATGAATGGATGGATGGAACAAAAGACAGATGGATGGATGGATGGAACAAAAAATAGATGTATGGATGGAACGAAAGACGGATAGACGGATGTATGAATGGAACAACAAAATGGATGGATGGATGGAACAAAAAATAGATGGATGGATGGATGGAACGAAAGATGGATGGATGGATGGAACAAAAGACAGATGGATGGATGGATGGATGGAACAAAATGGATGGATGATGGAACAAAAATGGATGGATGGATGGATGGATGGATGATGGATGGAACAAAAATGGATGGATGGATGGAACAAAGGACAGACAGATGGATGGAACAAAAGATGGATGGATGGATGGATGGATGATTAAACGAAAGACGGGTGGATGAAACGAAAGACAGATGGATGGATGGAAAGAAAGACTGATGGATGGAACGAAAGACGGATGAATGGATGGAAGTAACAAAAGATGGATGAATGGATGGAAGTAACAAAAGACAGATGAATGAATGGAACAAACGATGGATGGTTGGATGGATGGATGGAAGGAACGAAAGACAAATGGATGGATGGATAATGATGGATGGATGGATGGAACAAAAAATAGATGGATGGATGGAACAAACGAAAGATGGATGGATGGAACGAAAGACGGATAGACGGATGTATGAATGGAACAACAAAATGGATGGATGGATGGAACAAAAAATAGATGGATGGATGGATGGAACGAAAGATGGATGGATGGATGGAACAAAAGACAGATGGATGGATGGATGGATGGAACAAAATGGATGGATGATGGAACAAAAATGGATGGATGGATTGATGGATGGAACAAAAATGGATGGATGGATGGAACAAAGGACAGATGGATGGATGGAACAAAAGATGGATGGATGGATGGATGGATGATTAAACGAAAGACGGGTGGATGAAACGAAAGACAGATGGATGGATGGAAAGAAAGACTGATGGATGGAACGAAAGACGGATGAATGGATGGAAGTAACAAAAGATGGATGAATGGATGGAAGTAACAAAAGACAGATGAATGGATGGAACAAACGATGGATGGTTGGATGGATGGATGGAAGGAACGAAAGACAAATGGATGGATGGATAATGGATGGAATGAAGGATGGACGGATTGATGGATGGAACAAACGATTGATGGATGGCTGGAATGAAAGACAGATAGACAGATTGATGGATGGATGGATGGATAGAATGAAAGATTAATAGATAGATTGATATATAGACAGATGGAATGATGATGGATGGAATGAAAGGCAAATGGATGGAAGGATGGAAAGACTGATATACAGACAGACAGACCCATCCCAACTCCACATGTTCATGCTCAGCTGCAGAACTATGAGGGTCTGAGTAAAGATGCCCGTCTGAAATAACAACAGGCAGCTGAACTTCAAAGGGAAGAGGCTTCAGAGAGAGTGAGAGAGAGAGAGAGAGAGAGGGCACTGGAACTGGATGAAGCCGTAATCAAAACGCTCCGGGCAAACCCTCTATCGATCGCCAGCACTTCATCAAAGCTGACAAGGTCAGCCAACAACACAGCGGGAGAGAAGAAAAAAAAAGAAGGGAAGAGAAAAGAAAAAGAACATCACAGAAGGATGAGGGTCACAGAGGAAGGGTGGGTTATGATGTTGTCTGAGCCCTGGATAGTACCTTTCTACTCCAAAATGCCATAAGGTAACAGTTTCTAATCAATTTATATTGCCAGTTAGCTAATGCCACCTACTAAGTGAACATGCAAATGTGTTGTTAAATTATCGACTAATTAATTTAAAATCCCAGTAGGCATTTCATGTAAATAGTTTGTCTAAGTGGTCCGACTGACAAAGAAAGTTTGTGAATCTCTGCTCTCCCTAATATGCAACCCTCAACGAGAACTTGAGCCCAGAATCGCCCGGGTTTCTTCCGTGTCTTTTTTCTAAAACTGTAGGGGACCAAATCTCTCCGACGCCTCTCTGAAATGAGGACGAACGACTCCTGGCTGCTTCCTCGGGCCCTCTGAGTCCCACATGTGTTTTACTGCGCTGGTGACAGATCAATACAAGCGAAACAAATTATAGAGCGGATCAAAGAGAAACAGTTGGGAACTCTTAAGAACTCAAGTAAATGTTTAGACATCTAATAAGAAAAGTATATTGACAGTAGCGTTTAATTTAGTCAAAGCATTCGGATTAATCGTTGTGGTTTATCAAACATTAGCGCGTGCAGCCTCAGATGTAAGCTATGCATGCGGCAAGCGCAAGTGCATTCATATGCATATGCAGTACATTCAGCTTTTTATTCTATGCTACAAAAATGTTGATCCATAAAAGTAGGGAGGGATGGGATGTTTGGCTGGAAATGAAATATGGAAGTGTGTTCCTGATTTACATTCCTCATACAAGTGTTGCCTAACGGCTCTCAGGTGCGAGCGAGAGCACAAACCCTGTTCTGTGTGTGACAAACGATCATTTAGTTTGCGTTTTGTGCAGGTAGGTTTGTTATATATGACTGGCTTGTCGTTTGATCTAAAGCCTGATTGGTTGGGAACAATTGGCGGGAAATGTTGGATGTAGTTGTGTTTGTTTCTTCATCAGATTTGGAGAAATGTAGCATTGCATCAGTGTCTCAGCAATGGATGCTCTGCAGTGAATGGGTGCCGTCAGAATGAGAGTCCAAACAGCTGATAAAAACATCACAATAATCCACAAGTAATCCACAGCACTCCAGTCCATCAGTTAATGTCTTGTTAGGCAAACAGCTGCTTGTTTTGAGGAAAAAATCCATCAAGTCATTTTAAAATAAAATGTCCAATGAAAAAGTCATCTGGTCTGAATCGGGAGAGAAATCTGCACAGATCAAGCACCATTTACAAGCCAAAACTGTCCAAAACAGCTCTAAACAAATATGTGGGTGGATTTTGATGTGAGAGAACAACAGGAGATGGGCTTTTTCACTGGAGGAAGCGTTATTATTGATTATGGACACATATTTGGGCTGGAAGCAATAGTTTGAAGTTAAAAACATCTTGATGTATTTGTTTCTTACAAACACGCAACTTTTGTCTTCTCCAGATGATAACTGATAGACTGGAGTGGTGTGGATTACTTGTGGATTGTGAACCAACAGCTGCTGGCCACATTAAAAATGTGAAAATAGCACAACAACATTAAACAATCTGTTCATATTGCATTAGAAATGTGTGCGTTTATGCATTATGTATTGGGAGTTTCATGCATTATATATTTATTCACCTCCAGATTAGCTAGTTGTACTGAAGCTTATTCCATTTTAACCTATATTTTGGTGTCGGATCTCCAGCTTTATGCACAAACACACACATATGTGGTGCATTCAGAGCTGCACTATGACTCTGGATGCAAACCAGAAATGCTTTTCAACTTTTTTTTAAAATGCAAGCGCTATAAAGCAATACCAGTAAATTTCCCCCCAGAGGGCCGTTTTCTGGCTTTTTCACTGTATCTGGCCACGTTTTGTGCCAAATATGACACTATAGGATTATGTTATCAATTATCTAAAGCCTACTGTATCATACTTGATATGCAAAGCCCTCTAAATGATCAACATGATCAAAACTTTGATGAAAAACCTGTTGCGCTACACTAGGAACATTTATTTGTTCATCTCTCAATCATCATTGAATTGCATTGCGTTATATGTTTTGATCATTTAAATATCTGATATTTTATTTATATCATTTTATGTGAGTATCTGCTATACTGTTATAAAAATCTAACTGGTTTACATTGCAAGCATCAGAATTTCATCACTTTTTGGCCAAATAAAACCAGCATCTGCACCAAATTGCATATTGTTGCTCAATTCGAGTCTCTGAATAAAATTGATTGGATGGCCTGAGGGTGAGTACATTTTCAGCAAATTTTTACATTTCTTAAAATTCCAACTAATTAACAGGGCAGTTTCCATTAGATTACAGTGCTGTTAAACTAAAATGCAAACTTGACAATTGTCAAGTGTGCGAAACAGTCACGTTTTTGTTGAGAAGTGCATCTGAAACATTAGCGTCAGGGTACCAGCAGACGGACCGAATGATGAATGTGTGCTTTGACAAATGTGTCCTATAAATGCAAACATGTGTGCGCTCTTGTCCGCCACACTAACAAATGTTTCTAGGACTGTTAGGCAGAATGTGTGTCATTTGTTTTTATATTTAAAATGACACAAGTCTGTTTTTCTGATGTGATTTAGAGGGGCTTTTGTGTAAAACTTAAAATCTAGGCGGATAAACTCGCTTCCTCCTCTATTTAATGACAAATAATGTAAGAAAAGTGATACTGTGGCAGGAAAATGACAGCGATAGTGGCTCGGAAAGGAGAAATCCGGGCACTTTTGTATGTTTAACCCGGAGTACTTTAAAAGAACAGATCGGGTGTCAGGATCGTGGCGCTTATATGCATTACAAAAATACAGCATATCACACAAAAAGAAAGAAAGAATATTTGTTATCGATACACAAACTACACTGTGTAGAAACAATTTCCACTCACACATTGCTAG